TCCCAAATTTATCCAAATTTCGGTCGATACCCAAATAAATTTTTACAATTTGATATCCAAATTATTGCAGGTCCCTGTGGCTAGGGTACTGGTGCACAGCGATCGGAATTTTTCGATTATATTCGGGATTTTTCGGTATACTAATTTTCCCCCTCCCCTCCACCCCGTGAATACGAAAAAAAATAACGTTAAACGAAACATTAACTGCAAACGGCCTATTTAGGATTTAATGTTTTGGTACTGAGTGAAGAGGAGTGTGCAATTCAAGGGGGTATTTTTTGAATTGGTCTTTAGGCAGAAGTTCATTTTTATTAGACGTTACTAGTTTTGCAAGTTTAATTTATACCCGGGTATATTTTTGCATGGTATTTGAAAGTCAATAATTGGTTTAATATTATTAATAGGACAATATTGAACAGTGCCCTCATGCATTTTGTGCTCTAATAATATGATTAAAGAAATTTTTTATTAAAAAAAAGTGGTTCTTAAAAATAAATTTATTTTATTGTTTTTGTTTGATAAATTAAAGATTTATAAAGCTTGAAAAGTTGCATTTATTCTAATTAAGATTTAATGTAGTGTATATACGTGTACATTATAAAAGAAAGAATTGCAATAGAATTTGATTTTTTTTTTTTTATCGAATGAAAAATCATTATATTAAAATAATAGCAACCCATATAAAGAATTATATGACTTTGTACTTCAAACATAATATTCGATCGATAGTTTTCGTGTTTATCCATCAATATTGCCCTAATATCCAGATCATTTACAATAAACTAAAAATGAATAAATAAACCTATTTATAACAAAAATAATACTGTAAAAATTGTATATAAGATCCATTTGATTCATCCATTGATTCATCATGAATTATATCCACATACTATACGAACAAGATCTCTATTAATTAAATACGGCTTTTTTTTTATTATCTAGGCTTCTTATGATAAATGCAAAGAGTATATGCATTTTAAAATTTTTCCTGTTACAATATAAACGTTCGGCTGTGTAATTATACTATAGATTTTAAAATCGGTGGAATGAATGTTACAGACCCAATTCTTGTATGATCTTTTCGGAACTATCCGGTAAAAGGAATAATTTACCAAAGATAATAAAGCAATCAATTAAAATTCCAATACAAATGTGCTTTCATAGACCTGTCCAGTCTTTTTATTAATTGCCGTAAACTTAATTTCCATAGTACCGAATGTCAGAATTAATTCCACTTCCACCACTCGTTTTTTCAGAGTAAAACCCATTAATTTTTTTTGTTCTCGTGAATCTGATAAAACAATTGTCATGCTTCCCAACCTTTTCATTCCAACCTCGTCGCAATATTTCGCGTTATTATCCGGCGTAATGAATAGATTAAGAGTCACATCAGTTTGATTCTGATCTGCTGCGTATGTATAGTAGAATTTTTGATCGACGGCAACTTCAACACCTCTTAATGCCAACCGATGGAATCGGAATATACGGCCAGAGGGTGTACGACGTTCTGGTGGATCTGACTTATCCCATTTTACGCTAACTTCTACACCGTAACAGAATTTTAAAACTCGAGTTTGAACAATATCCAGATTTAAACCATATTCTACAGCACCTCGCTCGACGGCTTAGCGTAAAAAAAAAAAATCAGATTATTTTTTAGAATTAAATTATGAAGAAATAATATGAACAGATTGACTATCGTGGGAATATTTAATACCTGCTATGGGATGTTTAGGAACTGCAATAATTGGGATTTGTGTCGCAAATTGTCGACGAATTTGAGTTTGCAAGTATTGACTTTCACTAAATCCTCCTACTAAAAACATAGCTGCATATCTACGTTCGGTCGACGCACATTGCCTTTGAATCAAATCGATAATCTTTTTAACAACTGGATCAAACATATCTTTCACTGTTTGAAAGTCTAAATCAATCAACCATTCAGCCTCTTCCATTTGTTCTCTGACCTGACCGGTAACATACTGCATCAATGCAGGGCATATACGTTCAATATCCAATTCCTTTGGAGTATATTCGTTAGGATTTCCGTTAAATGAAAATTTTGCTCTTGAACAAAATTGTTGGACCAAATATTGCATTTGTTCATAGTAATTTTCTTTTAGTTTTTTCATTGCAGCGAATCCTAATTTTCGACCAAGAAATTTTAGGAATTCACGGTCAACAGAAGAACTGCCACATAGATCACCACTACGTTCGGTAATTTCACCAATTTTCATGCCAGGTAATAAAGTTCTTGTTGTAAGATCTATAGTTCCTTCTCCGCAATCAACGATTAAAAATGATGCTAATATGGAAAGAATTTTGGTGTTATGGCCGCACAACATTTATTAATAGATGAATTAAAGCCATTTGAAATTAAAACTTCGTTTAACGTTAATTTTTTGTATTTACGGAGGGATGGGAAAATTAAACAAACATAAAAAGTAACCACATAGTGTACCGACATATTCCGAATATACCGTTTGCAACTACATGTACCTGAGGTTTTATTTCAAGAACTTCCCTTTTAAAATTGAAATCCAGGAATCTCATTGATGAGAAGGGGATTCTTTACGTGGTAGGATATTATTTTCGGGGGATACCGTATGCAGTGGCAGACGGTAGCCGACCGCTATGTCGACCATTATTTCGATCGACTTGTCATTTTTATTTGTTTAATTTGAGAGGGGGAGCTCAAGAGATAGCGTTAAACGAAGGTTAAACTTCAAACTGCCTGAATAATAAATATATATTTACACCAATCTGATAGAACATGCTCATTTAAAGTTTTCATGCAATAAATTGCGACAGCTTCGGCTGAAAATAAATTAGTGAAATATGTATGCTATACATATATACTGTATGTATACAAATCAAATTATAAATTAAATGAATAAACTTTATTTACTTACGTCTAGTTATAAACTTTAAATTTTCTGAAAGTCTATGTTCCAAGTAACCAGCATTGTACATACACTCTCTCATAATTGCTTGCGTTTCATACATCCTTTATTATATGCCAAAAAAAAAAGCTTTAGATACCAATACATCAACTAAATCAATTATGAATATTGCTAACCATTCGGCAGGTACAGGTAGTACAAAACGGACTTGTTGAGGATACTGAATGCCTATGAATTTAAAAACATATAAATTAAATAAATTTAAGTTTCTCTTATTTAAATATTAATATTATATTACCTGGCCATCGACTATTTAATGTTTCTAAAATGAGCTAAACAGGGAAAATTATTATCACAAAATTAATTGAAGTCAATTATAAATAGTCTATGTATAATAAATTAATAATTTCTTTACTTTATTCATTTCATGTAAATAATCGGTAATGGCTCTTTTTGCATCTAAGCCTGGTGGAAGGGGTGGTTTGTCTTCCTCCTTTATATTGGCGAGGTGTAACATGAATAATTCTACCGGTTTAGGCTGCGGTTTAGCTAACTTTTTTTTTTTTTTTGGAGGTTCTTGGGCCAAGGCCGGGTATCCCCAGGCTACAAGTTGCAAATTCTCGTCATATGCTAATACAGTATTAGTTTTAAAGCCAATTTGTTCTGGCCTAATATTAAAATCACCGAAGAGTATCAATAATTTTTAAACTATATCCTTTCTGATGAAAATTTTAGATCGTGTTTATATACTACCACTATAAAAATGATATAATTCGTTATTAATTTATTTTGCATAAAAAATCTTAAATGAATAACAGTTCGACAATGCTGAACATTTAATCAAATTAATTGGATATGATCCTTAAACGGATACATTCAATTTATACAATATTTCCAGTACTACCTAGTATATACTGTCAAATTTAAACTTACTGTATCATTTGTGATAGTTTCTGGATTATTCTTGTTTGTATATGCAAATCCTATATTACGAAAAGATAATTTATTCACCATAATAATCAACCAATTGAAATTTTACTATACTTTTTTTCCTGACCTGAATGAGTAGTCCCAATATCTGATGAACAAATATAAACATATTGTTAGTACAATTACTTTAATTATCTAAGGCGCATAAGAATATCATATATACCAAGACCCACAACGCATCGAATATCTGGTCCCGTGTATTTAGGTACAATGTTATTTGGTATAGCTATATTATCAAGTTGATACATTCTTAGAACTTTATAAAAAACAAAATTATAGTCAAGTTTAATAATTTAATGTTACTATACTAACTTATAGATCTTGTATCATGTTCTTGCTCATTTCCAGGAGTGAATTCATCACCAGGATAAGTCCATCTCATCTCTTGAGTTACCGTATTGAAATAATAATATGTATTATCAGCTTCGGAAGTTTGTTGTATCCAATTTTCTGGTAGCTGCCTATGTTTCATAAAGGAACTCACGGTAGATTTTGTAGAGACACCAGTCCCAGTATAATTACTGTTACCAACATCACTCAGAAACATATCATTTCCACTTGAAATCATATATTGTTCATTTGAAACATCTTGCTCATTTGGAATAATATATTGTTCTTGTTCACTCAGAATAATATTTTCATCATAATGAATTGGATCCATTTTTATATTATTTAATTTATGACGAACTTCAGCTATGCTAGGACGTAAATTTGGATCACCATTCCAAGCATTAGTATAAAGATTTAAAAAATCCATTGGAGTTCCATTAACTGGAGTTTCTCTTTCTCCAGAAATTACAATAAATGATAATTGTGTTGTGTCAGTTATATCTTTAAAGGGATGAACACCACTTGATAATTCCCAGAAAAGCACACCGAGACTATAAATATCGGACGGTTTATCCCGTTTAAATAAATATGGATTTTGGAGATACTTTGGATCAGAAAAAGCGCATGTTCCACCAAAAATAGATTTTGAGGTATTGTCTAATGATTTCGATAAGCCAAAATCTGCAATCATCAGTTTATCGTCATGCACCAATATATTCCTATCATGCTATAGTAATATTAATATATATCCGATTAAACCAAAAAAAGAATAATAAAATTCATAAAATTATTTTACAAGATCACGGTGAACTATATTTGCATTGTGTAGGCAATTAATCCCACTAGAAATTTCTTTCGCCATTCTAATTTTGGTTGTCCAATCTAATTCCGAAAAATGATTACTTAAATAACAACGAAGGTCACTGTTATTTGCGTATTGAAGAACCATAAAGTATATTTCGCTTTTCGGATCTAATGTGCACAAAATTTAATAATTGGTCAACAGATAAAATTTGTAAGATCAAATTAACATACCCTGAGTTACTCCAAAGAACCGTATTATATTATCGTGATGAGCAAATCTGATAACATTTCTAACCTTAGTACATTATAAAATGTATAATAAACATATAAATCATACAAGAACGTAAATAGCAATAATATTGATTTAATGTATTATAGAATAACTAATACTTCTTTGATAAATTCATTCACATTAACACTAGTGGAATCGTAATGAAGGCTTTTTAAAGCTACAATTTTTTCAGCATCTTCTGAATATGCACTATACATAGTGCCAAACCCTCCTCTACCAATTACCTTCCAGTCCTGAAAAGAATCATGCTTGAATAACGTAATGTATCTTTTTTCAATAGCAACTTCAATCCAGTTTGACATTTATTAATTCTAAAAACGATAACTATATATACAGGAGGTTCATTTAAATCCGACTAACTAAAATAGTTTATATCAAAACGAATTAGTACGTACGTACGTACGTACGTACGTACGTATTTAATAAGTTAATAATGTTGCACAAGATATATGCTGTAACTTCATTTTAATTTATATTTAATAAGTTTGTAGATTATGTACAGTTAAATGGTAATGATATGGTCTAACTCAAAACACAACTACAAATGAATATACGTTAGTATTTGATGAATTTAGCTCTATGAGAGGTGAAAATGTGTAAACTGTAAGCGATATAATACTTCTAAAGCTTGGTATCAAACATGTGATCTGATCCTTGGACAAGGATAAATAAGGAAATCGATGATTGCATTAAAGAATTTCAACTTAAAAGCTACAAAATACGAAGATGCAATCGAATGGATTCCTTTTGATAGATTAAAATAGAATTTTATTAGTCTGGTTAGATGGAGTTAATGTTGTTAGACAAAACCCTTTTGCAAAATGACAAAAGACGAAACCTACCACCTCAAATGACAACCTCTGATGAGACCTGCAAAACCTGCGAAACCTGCGAAACCTGCGATACCTGTAAACCCTTCGAAACTTCTATAAAGACCAATTTCTTATAGATGGCGAAATTTCTAATAAAAATTAAAGCCCTCTATAAAGACAGTATCGAAGGAAAAACTCAACCACAAAGATTGCAGGATGGCCCAATGATGCTTACCGTGACTTTATGGAACTAATTATAGAGGGTATGGTGATAAGACAATCAAGTTCTTTAACAGGCATAGAATTTGGAAGAGTCGCCATTGCCAAAGTTCACTAAAAATGGCAAAGATTATCTTAGTCAAATAAAATCACCCTCTATAAATTTTAAAAAAAGGTTATAGCAAACTGCTTCGGAATCATTTTACACTCCATTACCGTTCAATTTTTCGTGCAATTCAAGCACTTCTAGTATGACCAAAAACAACAGAAAATTTGGCCTTGCGAGGAAAGCTAAGGTATTTTTAATTTTAACATTGTTTAATAGTTAATTTATTTTAAAAATTATTTTAATAATTGTTTTTATAGAATAATAATATGGATGTAAGGGTGTTTGGAGAACAATATGAGTGTAATTGGTGGCAAGAAGTTGAAAAAACCATTCCTCAAAAACTATTTGCTGTTAATTATTTTATATTCTGATGTAACAACTTTTGATAAACTTGGCAAGACATCAGGACATTCAATCTTTTTAATACTTGAAAATCTTTAATATTATCTTTGAAATTCAGTAGACTCCAAGGTTCTTTTGCCCAAAGTTCAAGATACCATGGTTAAAACTACTGATGAGTTTCAAAATTTACAATGTAAAATACATTACAAGTCTCTGAAGATTATAATTAACTCTTTGCTAAAAAAACTAGATGGATTATATTTTGAAATTCAAGAATGGCCAGTAGCTTTTGCTACAAAATTTTAGTCTTTCTTGCTAATATGCTTGAAGCAAATTCAACATATAAAGCATATAGCATTAAGATGTTATATTATCCCTTAGATTATAATAGAACACAGGCAAATTTGCCTGCATTTTTGTATTTTTTTTGGCTCTGATTTACTTTTATAAAAAACCAAAATAATTAAATAAAATTTTGTACAATTATATTTAAAAATAAGAATTACTTTTTTGCAGTATTTATTTTTAGATTATAAGAAAAAAATTTTAGGTTACTTATGAACCTAAAA